GAGCTCCAGCTCTCTAGATTCCATCCCCCCCACTTCTCCCCTTGTGCCTAATGTCTCCACCCCTACCCCCACACCCCTATCTTCTGGCTCCATCTTTCCACCCCATCCTAATGATCTTCTCCCCCCTTACATTAAAAATCAGGAGGGAGGATTACAGTGAGGCTCGCTGGGGCCATCCCAAGGGTGGACCGCTGGTCCCATGCTGCCTCCTGTCCCCAGAGGCCAGGTCACCCAGGGGCCCAGGCTGGCTGGATAGGCAGGATTGCCAGCCCCCCCTGGGGGGGGGCGGCGCTGAGGAAGACCTTAAAAACCTGAGCTCTGCAAGGAGGGACTGTGTCTGTAATCCGCTTTTTCATTTGGATGGGGGGGAAGGTTTCTTTATGTTTTTCAATTATCCATCATGCCTGTGTTCTCTCTCTGAGCTGTAAATTTCTCCTGTGTCTACACATCTATTTATACTCACACATTCCTCCCCCCTTCCCCTGTCCCTCCCTTTTTTTGGGGGCAAACTGCTGGACCCCAATGGGGGTGGGGGGCTCCGACCAGCCAAGGCCTCTGGGGGAGTGGCCACAGGTGGGCCATTGCAGCTTGGGTGGGACCCCCAAGGCAAGGGGTCGGGGTGAGGGGTTAGCCTTTGTTCTCCTCTTCTCCTGGCTGCATGAATTGCCAGTTGGGTTGGCTTTTTGTCTCCTCCTGCCCCCTCCCCCCTGACATGCATGACAGGGTTGCTGGTTGGAGCAAGAGCAGCTTTAATAGCTACGAGGACCACACGTGGTATGCAATTAAGACAAGAAATTAATAGAAACCAAGACTTCCCAGGAAGGGTCCATGGTGCTGTGAAGCGAGGAGGCCCAGCCTCCCTGGGGGCCGTGTTTCTGGGGTGCTGGGCTGGGGTCCCCGCATGGGGACGGCGGCCCATGGGCTCCGGCCTGCCTCCTCTTCTCACTCATTGGCCCTGGCTCTAGGAAGCCTGTCTTGTCTGCAAAGTCTGCCTCTGCTACTGGGTGATTTTTTTCTTAGGGGTTATGCAGCAGGCAGAGGAGTAAGTGAGGATAAATGGCAGGATAGGGAAGGGAGGAGAAAAATCCCTCTCAAAAAATCACCCCCTCTGCACACCAGTTGCTTTTTTTGGCTGTTGTGGGGCTTCAACTCTGGGCCTGGGTGCTGTCCCTGAGCGCTTGAGCTCAAGGTGAGCACTCTACCACTTGAACCACAGCACCACTACCTCCAACCTTTTCCCAGTAATTTATTGGAGACAAGAGACTCACAGACTTTCCCACCCGGCCTGGTTTTGAACCTCAATCCTCATATCTCAGTTCCTGGAGTAGCTTGGATGACAGAAGTGAGCCGCTGGCGCCTGGCTTCTTTCTCTTCCTTCTTTTTAGTCTGGTTGAGAAGAGCGCCTCATACTGGAGGAGCAGGTAACTGTAGGGCCTTGCTTCTAGAAAGATGGCGGCAGATTCTTCAAGGTCCTCTTGGCTTTTGGCCTTATGGCCCCTGTGGGTAGGGCCTGGTGCAGGGGAAGCTGGGTGGGGAACGGCACCAGAGGCTGAAATCAGCAGATGGAGGAAGTGATCTTTGGCAGGGAGAAGCGGGCTGAGTGGATCTGGCTCTCAGCATGTTTTTTACATTGTAAGATATCTTTCCAGATCCTTCTCATCTCTGCTGGATTTGAGGATGGGGCATGAGAGGACAGGGAAGATGTTGATGGCATTTTATGTTTTGCTGTTCAAGAATCAACTGATGATGACATCTGTGCTCGCCTCTGTGGGCTGAAGTCCCTTCAGTTGTCTGAGGCAAGGTGTGAGGAAGGGGCAGGGAGAACTGGCCATGTGGCTCTGTGTGGTTGGGCATGGTGGTTCTAAGCTAGTGTGCTTCTCTTTCCTTTTTCCATTTTTAACTTGAACTTGGTCCCTGACTCTATTGGCTGGCACTCTATCAATGGAGCCACACCTCCTCCCCCCCATGCTTCCCTTCTCAGTTCCTCTTTTGAACTACAAAGATGGAGGTTGACCCAATGGGGTGGGGTGTGGATGGTCTTGGCCAGGCATGGCTCTTCTGTTTTGTTTTTCAGCCTCATCCTCCAAGCTTCTCTGACAATTCTAGAAAGTTCTTCCTCACAGTTGACTCCCATTTCCCCTTCTCTGCCACTGGGTATGCACAGCCGCATCCTCATAGAGTCCCTCCACCCCCCTCCCCACCCTCTCTGTAAATAAATAGAGATCAAAAGGGGAGTTATGGGTCTAATGAATTGTTCACATTTTATTAGAGTGGATCGCCTATTTCAACCACAGGGGATTCTCCAGAGACAGGAGATTAGTGCTGGGATTGATGGCCTCTTCCAGAAGGCCGGGGCTGGGCCAGCAGCAGGCAGACTGGAGAGGGGTGGGCTTCAGGGCCTGCCCAGGCCCTGGCCTTGGCACAAAACCCATTGGGTGCCTCAGCCCCGGGGGGCAGGGATGGGAGAGTGGTGGTGTGAGCTGTAAGGGCGCGCTCGTGGTTGGATGTCCATGCTCCTCCCAGGTTAGTGGCCTTGTGGCCTTTCTCCAGACCTTCTCGAAGCCACTGGCACCTGGTCAGGATTCCGGGTGTACTTGGTGTCCTAAAATTCTCTTCACACACCCGGCTGGAGAAGGGGAAGTGTGTGAACTTCTCCAGGGCGAGGAGAGAGATTTCAATTCAGCACTTGTACTTAACGTTGTTGAGTGACTAGTAGTACCTAATGAAATACACACATGTGCACTGAGTGAATGAATGAATGAGTTAATGAAGCTGGGGGCAGGGCTTGTCTGGTCTGGTGGATTAGAGGAAACCAGGAACATATAGCTCTGACCTGCTAGAAAGATGTCCACTGCCGGCTTCTCATTTAAGAGATGGGGAAACTGAGGCCCAGGGTCTCCAGGTTGATTTGCCTCAGGGCTGGTGGCTCCTCAGTACCCATGTCCGGTGCCCGCTGCACCACTGACCTGAAGGAAACATGGAGGAGCTGTGGGTGGATTTCAGGTGGCCCCATGTGCAGAGGCTCTGGGAAGCCCAGGCACAGCACAAATTCTGGTCTGGGTGTGGCCTGGTGTTCTGCGGCTCTGAGAAGTGCCCAGGTCGTGCCAGAGTTGCTGTACTGGAATCACAGGGCCAAACCACCGCCATATCCACCCCCCTGGGCACAGCAGTCTGGCATAGACTGGAATATTGGGATCTTCAGAGCCTCAGCCTTGTGCTTGCACACATCAGCTGTCAGCCTGTAGATTGAAGTTCTCCCATCTCCATGCTGTGTTCATTCATTGGCCTTCTACTTCTGTTTCTATCTTCTGTGTTCTCTGGTTCTTTCTCTTAACGGGTGATTTGCTTTCTTATTTTTTCTTTGGGTCCCCTTCCCCTTAGTAATTGATCTTATCTGATATCTTGGTGTCTCTTCTCTTTCACATTGTCTTCTTTTATTTATTTAGATTTTTTTTTTTGGTGCCAGTTGTGGGGCTTGAGCGCTGCCCTTGAGTTTTTTAAATTTTTAATTAATTAATTAATTTTGGTTTTGCTCAAAGCTGGCGGCTCTGCCTCTTGAATCACACATCCAACTCTGGCTTTTTGGTCTCACAGACCTTCCTGGCCTGGGCTGGCTTTGAATATTGACCCTTAGATCTCAGCCTCCTGAGTGGCTGGGATTGCAGGTGTGAGCCACTGGTGCCCAGCTCCTGTCTTTTCTAACTGAGTGTGTGTGTGTGTGTGTGTGTATGTGTGTGTGTGTGCGATTTCTCTATTCAGCTGTTCAATAAGTACCTGCTACAGACAGATCTGCCAATCACGGGGTGACCACTGGGGCTGGACTCTGTTCTCTGCCTTCTAGCGCTGTAGGAACAGAGTGCTTGGAGACCATCTCAGGGCCGGGTGAGGTATCTCGGGAAGAGGGTGTGGGGAGAGAGGGATAGTCCATATTTGTTGGGAGCCGACAGTAAAGCTCCAAGGTCATCTTGACCCTTGTGCTCACTTGAAGGCACGTACAAGGGACTGGCTTTCATGAAAAACACCAGGTGTCCGTGTTTGCCTTGCTATGTCTGTAGAATTTGCTTTACTTTCTATCAGTTGACCTTGTCTTGGTTCTTTCTGCACCCTTGTTTTTATTAAAGACTTTTCTTGCTTTTCTGCACTATGGTGACCTTAGGTTGCCTCTTGACTTCTATTAGTATAAATAAGGAGAGTTAAAAATAAACGGGGCTGCAGTCTTGAGCTGCAGACCTCCCGACCCCATCCTTTGTCTTATGTCTTTATTTTTCCGTCCTCGCCCCCTAAATCAGGAGTCCCTTTCATTGCCCGCTGGTTCCAGCAAGTGGCGCCCAAACAGGGACCCTGAAAACCTGGGATCAAGGCAGAGGACCCCGCTAAGGTAAGAGGACATGTCCAGAAAAAGAGCTGGTCATAGTATAGTCGGGAGTAAGAAATTATGGGGCAAGGAAACAGCCGTACATTATATGTGCAGGCTCTTAAGGGCATGCTTCAAGCTCGAGAAGTGAAAATTGGACAGAGTCAATTAGAGAGTTTCTTTCGCTTTATCGAGGAAGTATGCCCCTCGTTCCCGGAGGAAGGAACCATTAGTTTAGAAATTTGGCAAAAAATAGAAAAAATGATTCAGGAGCATTATGATGCAAGTGGCCCTGAAAAAACCCCAGTGGATGCTTTTACACTTTGGAATTTAATTCGAGACTGTCTGGACCCTGGACATGAACAAATAAAATTTAATCAGTTGATTGGGAAAGTTGAACAGGGTAACGAGTCACTCCCTGCTCTGGGAGCACAAACTGCTGCCCAAAAGAAATCAAATAAATTTATAAAAGTTGAATCCATTGAGTCAGAAAATGAGAAAAAGTCAGATGGCTCGGATGCTGAGGAAAAATCAGATGACTCAGATGCTGAGGAAAAAATATATGATGAGCCTACTGAGGATAAAACAGTCCATTTTGAGGAAATGTTAAATTCAGTTATAAAAATAATTGTCACAGATTGAAGCAATGCAACGACCCCCTTTAAGGGTGAATGTTTGTGAGCCCTCTTTAACATCTCTAGGGGACTCAGATTTCTTTCCCCCACCCCCTCCGCCTGTTATTCCCCAGGCGCAGTCTACTTGGCCTGCGCAGCCTAGTCGGCCCAGGCCTTTGAAGTTATCTAGTCCTCCTAATGATGAATTCCCTCTTGGGACAGGGGCTATTTGCCCTCCCAGGCGTAGTGCCTTGCAGCTCTCATTAGCACAGGCTGCTCAAAGAGGGGAGGATATTTCTGGTTTTCATTTATTTCCTGTAATGGAGGACCAAAACCAACAAAGAACTCACCAACCTATCCAATTTAAACAAATAACAGACTTGAAAAATGCTTGCGCTCAATATGGACCTACAGCAGGTAATTTTGGAAACATTGTCTACTGATGCTTTATGCCCTAATGATTGGAAACAATTAGCTAGAGCTTGTCTTAGTGGAGGAGATTACTTGTTGTGGAAGTCTGAATTTGTGGAACAATGTCAGGCCACAGCAGAGGTTAATAGGGCTAATAATATACCTACTACTTTTGCAGAGCTTGCTGGGGAAGGTGCTTATAATGACATCCATACCCAGTTAAATTACCATGTGGGCGCATATGCTCAGATTAATGCCGCTGCTAAGCGTGCCTGGAAGAAACTTCCTAACTCTAATAAGACTGAGGATCTTTCTAAAATTAGACAAAGACCAGATGAACCTTATCAAGACTTTGTCTCTTGGTTACTAGAGGCAACAGGCCGTCTCATCCAAGATGGGGATGCCAGTATGGTTCTTGTACGAAAATGCTAATGCAGCTTGCCAAGCAGTCATTAGACCATTTAGAAAAAAAGGAGGAATAACTGATTATATTTGGCTCTGTGCTGACATTGGCCCATCCTATATGCAGGGCCTCACACTGGCTGCTGCACTTCAGGGACAAACCATAACTGAATTCCTCCGCACTCCCCGGGGAGGCAAAAATGGAGGACGACGTCCCCGAGTTGCTGGACCTCCTGGCAGCTGTTTTTCTTGCGGCCAAATGGGCCATCTAATGACTCAATGTCCTAATCAGAAAAAGGGAGCTAAACTAAGGAGATGCCCCCGATGTAATAAGGGAAGACATTGGGGCAGAGATTGTAAATCTACTTTTGATAGTGCAGGCCGCCCGATTCCGGAAAACTGGCAGAGGGGCCAGCCCCTAGCTCCTCAACAAAAAACCGGGGCAGCCCCCTCCTTTTCACAGCTTCAAGCCTACCAGCTGGCAACCAACAGCAACAACAACAAAAGGTTTCCAGTCTCCTCAGAGCAACCCCAGGAAGTGCAGGATTGGACCTCTGTTCCTCCACCTACACAGTATTGACTCCTGAAATGGGAGTTCAAGCTCTGTCTACGGGCATAGTTGGCCCCCTTCCAAAAGGATCTGTTGGTCTGTTATTAGGCCGCAGTAGCTCGGCATTGGAGGCCTACATATTACCCCAGGAGTGATAGATCAAGACTATACTGGAGAAATAAAAATTATGGCCTCAGCGCCTACTGGAGTTATATCTATTTCTGCTGGGCAAAGAATCGCTCAGCTGGTCCTAGTTCCTTTAATCTCTGTTGGAAATTCTGTTACTTCTGCCTCAAGAGGCACAAAAAATTTTGGAGCCTCAGATGTATTTTGGATTCAAAATATAAAACAAGGAAGGCCTGAACTTATAATTTATATTCAAGAAAAGCCTTTTCGAGGCGTGCTGGATACTGGAGCAGATGTATCTGTAATAGCTAAAAAATATTGGCCTTCTCACTGGCCCCTTACTGCCTCTCTCACATCCTTACAAGGAATTGGCCATGCTACAGATCCACAGCAAAGCAGTGCTATTCTCAATTGGAAAGATGATGAGGGCCATTCTGGAACTTTTCAGCCTTATGTGCTGGATCATCTGCCCATTAATTTGCGGGGGAGAGATATTATGGAAAAATGGGAGTTTATTTGTTTAGTCCAAATGATGTAGTCACTTGACAACTCTTCGATCAAGGACTGCTACCCTCAGGGGGACTGGGGATTGGTCAACAAGGCATTAGAGAGCCCATTTGGCCACAGCCCCTACCAAATAGACAAGGTTTAGGATATTTTTAGCGGGGGCTGCTGCTCATCCTGCCCCTCACGCCGATCCTATTACATGGTTATCAAAAATTCCGGTGTGGGTGGATCAGTAGCTCCTATCAAATGAAAAGATTATTGTTGCCCAGCAGCCGGTGCAGGAACAGCTGGAATTGGGCCATATAGCTCCCTCTACTTCCCCATAGAATTCACCTATTTTTGTTATCAAAAAGAAATCTGGAAAGTGGAAACTTCTTCAAGATCTCCGGTGAGTAAATGCTACTATGGAACCTATGGGGCCTTTACAACAAGGTTTGCCCTCCCCAATGGCCATTCCGCAAAATACATGCAAAATAATAATTGATTTAAAAGACTGTTTTTATACCATACGCCTTGCCCCTCAAGATTGCAAACATTTTGCATTTAGTGTCCCTTCTACTAATTTTAAAGAACCCATGAAAAGATACCATTGGCTAGTATTGCCTCAAGGCATGGCAAATAGCCCCACCTTGTGTCAAAGTTTTGTAGCACGGGCTCTTTCTTTTACTCGCCAAAAATTTCCTTCCGTTTATATTATTCATTATATGGATGATATATTGCTAGCTCATTTAAACCCTACAGTACTACGACAAGCTTTTGGACAATTAAAACTAGACCTTACCTCTTTTGGATTAATTGTAGCCAATGATAAAGTGCAAGAGCATCCTCCGTTCACTTATCTTGGTTATATTTTGGGTCCTTATTATTTTACTAGTCAAAAATTACAGGTTAAAACTTCTCATTTGCATACTTTACGTGATTTTCAGAAATTTCTGGGAGATATTAATTGGCTTTGCCCTTATCTTAAATTATCTACAGCTGAATTAAAACCTTTATTTGATTTGTTAAAAGGAGACCCTAACCCTGCATCCCTCAGAGAATTAACAATTGAAGCGGCTGAAGCTTTAAAAATAGCAAATTCTGCTATTTCTTCCCAACATGTAAATTATATTGATTATTCAGCTCCTTGGGAAGCTTATATTTTAACTACACCTCATTCTCCCACAGCGGTCCTCTGGCAGAAGGGACCCCTTTTATGGCTTTCTTTATCAGCTACTCCCTCAAAAGTATTAACTCCTTATTATGAATTGGTGGCTCCTTTAGTTCACATGGGCCGTGTGGAATCTTGTAAATATCTTGGATGAGATCCACATGTTATTTATATTCCCTATACATTACAACAGCAGGAATGGCTTTATTTTCATTGTGATTCCTGGGCGGTTGCTTGGGCTAATTTTATGGGCACAATTTCAATCATTATCCCTCTAATAAATTGCTTCAATTTGCCTCTTCTTACACTTCCATATTTCCTCGGGGGGTGTCTTTATCATCTCTTGCTATGGCTGCCTTAGTGTTTACAGATGGATCTTCTAATGGAATGGTCACTCTTACTATTGATGGAAATACAACATCCTGGGATACTGGCCTTTCCTCAGCCCAGCAAGTTGAGCTTCAAGCAGTTTTACAGGCCCTTACACTTCTGTCTATTAGTGCTTTTAATTTATATTCAGATAGTCATTATGTTATTCGAGCCCTTCAGGTTATTGAAACTGTCCCCTTTCTTGGAACAGCAAATTCCAGTATTCAAACTCTTTTTTGCCAAATACAGCTTCTTCTTCACTCTCGCACTTGTCCATGTTATTTTGGATTTATACGTGCCCATACTAAGCTTCCTGGTCCATTAAGTGAGGGCAATGCTATTACGGACAAGGCTACTCAAGTTTTTCTTACTCAAATTGATTTGGCAAAGCATTCAAATGCCATCCATCATCAAAACAGTCGTGCTTTACGCTGACAATTCCAAATCACTCGTGAGGCAGCTCGTCAAATTGTAAAAAGACCTGCCCTAGTTGTACTACTTTCTTACCAGTGCCCTTCATTGGAATTAACCCTCGAGGTTTAGTTGCCAATCAGATCTGGCAAATGGACATTACTCATATTCCATCTTTTGGACGGCTTCGCTTTGTTCATATTACTATAGATACTTATTCTAATTTTATTATGGCTACTCCCCTAGCTGGGGAGACTAGCAAGCATTGTATTTCCCATTCTCTGCATTGTTTCGCCACTATGGGACTTCCTAAATATATTTAAACTGACAACGGTGCAGGATATGTTGGACAAGCTTTTCAAAATTTTTGTAAATCTTATTAGATTATTCACACTACAGATATTCCCTATAATCCTCAAGGTCAAGGAATTGTTGAACGAGCTAATGGTTTGCTTAAACATCAAAATTTTAAATTAAAAGGTGGGGAATTATACCCCATCTTTCCTATTAATATTCTTTCTCATGCTTTGTTTGTACTAAATTTTTTAAACTTAGATTGTAATGGGCTCTCTGCAGCACAGTGTTTTTGGGAAAAAAGAGAGCAAAGAGCTTTTGCTCAAGTAAAGTGGAAGGATCCTTTAACAGGTGCTTGGCATGGGCCTGATCCGGTTTTAACATGGGGTCGAGGACATGTTTGTGTTTTTTCACAGGAAGAAAATGACGTCCGCTGGTTGCCTGAATGCTGTGTTAGGATTGTGGAGACTCATTCAGATGACACAAACGCTGACCCATTGGGCTTACATGCCGGATCCCCCGATTGTGCACCCAGCGACCTGGGAGGGAGTTGAAGTACTCATTCATGTTAATAGATCAGCATACAGTACAGCTCCCGATCCTTTCATCCAATATAGAAAAATAGGAAATTTCTCAGCTTCAGGTATTGGAACTCCTTTATGTTTTACCACCAATTTTAAAATCTCCATTCCAGGCTGTACTTTTATGCAATCCATGACTCATAAAATTTGGATCCCAGACAAAAATCTAATGTACAACATACAAATGACATCCTTGCCAGCTGGCCAATTAGTTTATGCAAATTCTACTCCATCCTATAGGATACCCCATTGCATTAATTCCTCACAGATAGTAGAATCTACAGGAGAGCCTCATCCAATAAGGTGCAGGCATGTACAGCCATTTGTTACCAATATTTCTTGAACTAATTCTCAATTATTGGATTGGTCTGGAGCTAATCTTACTAATAAGTTCAATCTTGGATTGTGGTAATTGAATGGGCATCCTCAACATCATGTTTGGATGTTGGTGGCTGCACTTAATAATATAACTTGGCCCAATTCATTCTTTTTAAAAAATATTATGAGTTGTGTATCCCCACCCCATGTTATTATGTATGGACCGTTTAATATTTCAGTAGGAGCTAATTATTTTAATGTTACCTGTTCTAATTGTTCTTTTACTAATTGCTTATTTAGTGGCATAACTGAATCCATCCTTATTGTTAGACAACCACCTTTTGTTATGCTTCCTGTAAGTATTTCTGAAACTTGGTATGAAGATTCTGGTATTCAGGTGTTAAGACAATTGAAAGAACTAATGCGCCCTTGTAGATTTGTTGGGCTATTTATAGCTGGTGTTCTAGCCTTTATTTCGTTAGCTGCCTCCTCAGCAGCAGCTGCTGTGGCACTAACTCGTAATGTACAAACTGGCCATTATCTTAATCAGCTTGCTCATAATACTACACAGGCTCTGCATTTTCAAGGTAGGATTGATGATAAGGTAGAACAAAAACTAGAAGCATTATATGAGTCAGTATTATCTTTAGGAGAACAAGTTCGTGCTCTGCAAACTTTACAGCGAGTGCGCTGTCATGCCAGGTTTGATTTTATTTGTGTGACTCCTCATATATATAATGAATCAAATTACTCATGGGAAAAGGTTGTAGCACATCTTAATGGTATCTGGCACCATAATAACTTGTCTTTAGATCAGCTGAACTTTGAAAAAGTTCAGCTTCACAGGCAAATAGCCGGATTAGAACAAGCCCCACCGCTAGACTCTGAAGTGGCCAAAATTGCTAACGAGCTGTTTGAACAATTTCAATGCTATATCCCTTCCCTGTCTAATGCTAAAGGATTGTTAATGACATTGCTTGGCCCCCGTGCACTTTTATTGTTGGTTTTTCTTTGCCTTCCTTGTTTTATACGTGCTCTGCAAAACTCTTTTATGAGTTTAGTCAGCCAGCTACATAAGATCAAGCTCCAAATAAATGAATTCCCCCCGAGAGGAACTGCAGCCAGAGACGGGTAAGAGGGGGTGCCAGTCTGACCAACCTAAGACAGGGCCTTCAGCTTTGCTCTGAAGAAGTCCCCAAAGACGGGTAAGGCAGACAAGGTGATCCACCCAACCTAAGACAGGCGGGTTCGCTTTTTCTAAATAAAGACGGGGG